ATCAGGGAAATTTTTAACTTATTACAGGATACTTGCATAAAACAAATTAGTATATATTCACCATAAGCCACAGTACAAAATGCAACTCAATCAATTCAAATATCTGAATTCTTTTTAATCCCACAAATCACGTGCAAGTGAGATTAAGGCCTCAAAACTGAAAGTATTCAAGTATAGTGTCAGCACCACAGTATATTATTGACCCAAAATTCAAAAAACTTGATTTTCATGGTACCAACAGCCATGGCCTGATCATTGCCAAAAGTTACATTTTGGGAGGACAGTAAATTATTTCTTCTTCAAATCATTTTTCAATTTATACTAATTACTAATCAAAATGAAATCTGAGATAGTTGTCTAAGAGTTGGTCAAGCTGACCCACTGTTCCACAGTATTGTGGTTTTTCCCTGTATCTGCTGTTAGGGGAACATATAAAAAGCCTTCTGAGAAGACAGTAGTAGTTTGTTTTGCTGTTTGTTTTGTTTGCAGTCAAGATGACAGATCCTATAAGCTTACAAAGTACCTGCCCTGCTTCTAAAAGAGAACTCTTCAGGGTAAAATTCAACTTTCAGCAAATGAAAAGCAAAAAAAGAACAAAACTCAAACTTTGAACAAAAATGCTACTTGGAATATGGTGGAAGCACTTTGTTGTGGTTATTTGGTGTATTTTTTCCTATTTTTAATGGAAACCCGCAAAAACTCCACGGTCTTTAGGAAAAGTAAAATAATTTAATTGTGAAATAACTCAGTCACAACCAGTTCAAGCCAAACAACTCAGAAAAACGTTTCCCCACCCTTTGAACGAAAGAACTGAGGACAAACTGCCTCGTACAAATGTTTGATCAGAAGCCCTGATGGAGCAGCCAAAGCCTTTCTGTGTAACTTTCTCTCCACTGTGCTTTCAATTGAGAAAATTCCTGCCCATTTATGCCATAAATGCAGCAGGTTTTATCTGCCTGCCTGTGAGAAAGGCTGGTGTACCTGTATCCCTGAGCAGATGGATGCAGGGAAGAGGAGGCGACAGCTCCAACAAGACCAGTCATGTAAAATGATTCCCCAGGAAATGTGAAATCTGCAGCCCTGACAGCACAACCAGGAGAAAGTTCTGTTAATTAAAACCTGAAAGAACAAGGCTTTTTATAATATCCATTCCAAATATGTTTTGTCCCCACTGTTTGCCTCCAGGAACAATTCCATTTTTCTGTTGGACTGTGACATGTAGAGTCATTTACTCTAAAACTTCTTCCCTTTTCTGACCTTCCTTAGTTGTTTTTATTTAATTTTAAACATAAGTCACTCTCCATCCTTTCAGATATCTGTAACTACGACTAAATTATGATAATTATGGATAAAACATGGAATGGCAGGTAAAAATAATCCCTCTTTCCTCTGCTTTCCAAGGCAGAGGGGAGTTCCCTTTCCCACCCAGCCCTTCCCACCCTCATATCCAGGCTGAGGGCTCCCTCTCCTGTTCCAAGACATTTCTCACCACTGTACTTTAAAGACAGACAAAACACGGGATATCTAATAGCACTCAGGAAAAATTATACCTTTCAATTCCTTAACATCGAGAATTTGGCAATCAACAGGGACTTCTCAAATCATAAAACATCTTTTGTCACAGAGCTTTGGCACCAACTGTGGCAACGAGACATTGCTGTGCACTGGCAAAGATATTATGAATGGGTCAGTAGAAGGACAGACAAAAAAAAAAGGTCATCCTGGGACAATCAGAACTCCTCAAGATATAAAAGCAAATAAAATAATAAACATAAATTTAGCAATTACTCTGTATTTACAGAGAGACTTGCCAATTATAGAACACGTAACAAAACAATGAATATTTCATTTTCTCTTCAATCTGGCAGAGAAGAAAATCACTGAGACGAAGCATTTCATCTACAGGAGAAGCACAGGCAAGATGCTGACACACACCATCAAAAGACAAAATTAAAAAAAATCTGAGAGCAATAGAACATATTAAACTTCATCAAAATCAGTCTATAAATATTCAGTGGCCACCCACTGCTTTCCAATTAAAATATTTGATTTCAAACCAACCAAACACAATTAATTTTTTTTAAAACAGAAATGGAACAGAAATCACAATTTTTATTTGGACTAGATAACAAAAAATAAAATTAAAAAAAAAACAACAAGACACAATCAATGAATAAAGGAAAGAAACACCCTAAAACTTTATGTGTAAGAAGGTAATAGATTAAAGTCATCTGTGGCAGGAGAAAAAACCATAATTTCTAATAGCTCTTTAGTCAGGCAATTTTGGATCTGTGATAGAAATGTGACACCTGATAGATGTTGAACTCAAAAGAAAAATTTTCAGTCAGCAAATAAATCAGCAAGCAAATAAAACAATGAAAATGTGAAATGTTACAGAACCACGAACAACTACAGGAGAAATAACGTGAAATCACTGAATTTAATGGAAGTCTTTCCAGTGACATTAATACAATTCCCAGCTGGCTTTTGTGCTGGAAGCTGACGGCAGTTTGAGGTGATACAATCATTTTTGATCACTAAAACCCAACGGTGGCAGATCCCTTCTGTTTGGCTGAGTGTCCGTGTTGGAGGGAGGGGGAAAGAGCTGCCATTAGAGGGAGATGAAATGTTCCACCACTCCCCATCACAACTGAGAGCCACTCAAATATTTCTGGCAGTGCCCTTGAGATAACCACCTGCCACATCATCAGAATGTGAGTTATTTTCTGATGTGGTTACATTCCTAAGCCCCTTTTTTCAGTGTAACATATTACTTTTTAGTGGCTGGGACTCCACACAGCACGTGTATTAATTTCCCCCTCTGCCGACGGAATTTTTAATGAAGATAAATTGCAATCGTGACATTTACATCTCAATGATTTCCACAATTGAAACATTCTCATAATACTGGTGCACATGCTGTAAGTGGGTTATGCAGCCAGATACTAAAGCAATCATTTTATCATTGTCAGAGTGAATATAATGCCTACAGCAATCAATTGGGCTTTTATGGGAACAGTTATCTCAGCTGTTTTTGCATTGAAAAAAATGCACTGAAGTACCCATTATCCATCTCCACTGTCAAAGGACAAGCCATGATCTTAGCTTTCATTCCCAGGAGTGGGAAACTCTGCCTTACAATGAAGATCAGAAGACAAGAAAGGACCAAAGTGGTCAGCAATAGCCAAGAGCAAAAGGCTCAAGAGCCCTGGGAAGAATAAACTGAAGCTACCTGACTCTGGGAACAGCACTTGGGTCAATTAGAAGTTCAGCTGTGGGTTCTGCAGCCCTGGAGGGGAGGAGATTGGGCCTGGTCAAGATGAAGAGAACTGAAGACAACAAAGGTGCTAAAAAAGAGATAGACGAGTGAAAAATGAGGAGGTTGCAAGAGCCCTGGTTGGAGAGAAGTCCTAGAGGAAGCACCAGCACGGATGTGGGGGGAAAATGAGGACAGATTGTCCAGTTTTCTCTATAAAGAGTTACAAATCTAAGTTTTCCAAGAGCTGGGAGAACAGCCAGGACAAGCTTTTCTGCAGCCACTGCCCTTTATTTCCAGCAGTTCCAGGAGTCAGGGGGGTTCACATGTTTCGGGTCCTTGGGTCACTTGGCCCTTTGCTGTTCCAAACTGCCAGAGTGGCAAAAAAATAACATGCTTTGGTTATTATTGAGTCTTAGGGAAACTGCAGCAGTAATCAATAGATATTTTATGAAAGAAGGGTGGGTGACACACAGGAGTCATTAGTAGGACCACTTTTTTTGTGGTTTAGTGTGACTCATGATCATTCCCTACACCCCAGCAAAAACACCAGAATAAATTTGATTCAACAGTATTACAATGGACATACTCCAGCAGAACTTATCCCAGAATCTACAGGTATTCCCAATTAGATTTGGAGAACATAAAATGTGGATTTTTTTTTTTTCCCTTTCAGGTTGTGCCTGATAACACAGACCCTCTAACTCATTAATATCTGAGCTGATGACATCAGCAAAGTCTTCACATTCCTAAATTTTGTAAACACCAGGCCTGCAAGAAAGACAGGAAACTTCCAGTGGTAAAGTTCCTTGAAATAATTTCTGGGTTTTTTTGTAATGCATTGAGTCTCCTGATCTGCTCAGCAAGAGATATTATAGCAATAAATCTTTTTATACTTTTGAAGAAAAATGAACAGCAAAGGTTAAGGCTGGAATACACTATTTAAAATAAAAGAATAAATACTTCTGCCAGCTATTTAAACATTCCATGGCCAGATACACAGAAGCAAATCTGTTAATGTTTCTGTTCACACCATCGATCCTTGCTCAGAGCTTGCAAGTTCTGCAAACATAAACCCTTAAGTCCTCAACTTCCATACTTCAAATTTGCAGAATTTTCAGGAATTTACTAGGAGAGAACAATTTCTTGAAGTTATTGTGAGAAGGTCCCACCAGGAATCAACGTATTCAGATACCTCACAGTGTACCCAAAGAGCAGGACACTTAATTCATTAGCAAATGTAGTGCTCGAGGTGAGTCAGGTACATTCAGGTACCTGCACACACAGACATGACTCAGAAAGGAATTGGCAATTCTGAGGTTCCTGCCAGGCAGGAGTCTCCCTACTGACAGTTGTTTCAATAAAAATTTATTTACTTGTCATTGAGTATAGATTATTTTTAATCACATATTTATCTGGGCAGATATCAGGCATAAAAAGTATAATCTAGCAAGAAAAATTCCACAGTTCTATTAATTCCAGGGAGGAAAATGGGAAAAGGGACTTTGTTATTGCTTATTATAAACAAAAAATAAAAATCATAAAAGTCACTGGGTATGCAAAGGCAGCTCAGTTCCCCACTCAGTTTGGTAATTAAGAGTTGGAGAATTACCTGTGTCTATGCTGCTCTTTAAGATGCAGTTCAGTAGCTGGGAGGAATCTGGCAGACTCCCAGATTTACCTGCTCCCTGACCAGGCTCTTTTGCTGTCAGGCTGTGCCTCCAGGCAGGATCCAGCAGCATGGCAGCATTCCTGGCACACTGGCACCTCGCTGCTCACCAAGCCACACTTGCAGGGCTGACATCTAAATGGATGCCAAGGAGAAGTAAAATTGAGGCAATTTCACAAAACCCATGACAGATACTCAAGAGAAAATCCACGGACAACTGTTAGGAAGAGAAAGAGACTCACTTTTCAGAAGCCTAAACCTACATCTCAGGATTCTGGCCTAAGGAGAGGCAGAAAGATACTTTACCTGTCCAAGGTCCCCTGGAAAAATTCAAACAGCGCAGTGAATTGAGCCAAATAAAGACACCATTCCCTGGAAATCTCTTCTCCGCTAGTGTGGATGATTGAGCAAAAACATCTCAGCCCTCTGTGAGCTGTTTCAATCCTTTATTGCAAAGGCTACTTGTATTTTCACTACCCTACCTTGAAAGGTCTCGTTCTTGCCTTTGATTTCAGCTGGTTCAACTTGACACTCCCTTTTTCCCCCCCAAAAGCAGTTTACTAACTCCTGAGCTACTGTGACACGAGAAACACTCTTTATACTAAAAAGCAGAGATGTGGAGAATGGCATTATGCATGGCAAGAGCTCGAGAGGTGCTGGGAATAATATTCAAAGAACAGAAACGTGAGAAGTTCGAAGCTGCCAATGGAAACAAAGGGAGCAGCAAGAAAGGAGACTGTAGAAAATGTATTGTCAGTGACTCCTGGCCTGGAATTGAATCCCTAGGTGAGTGCTGGGGAAGTCTCCTGAATGCTGATAAGGTGCTTAACATTATCCAGTGCTTGGGCTGACTTTGTGAGTAGAGAAAATAGAGAGGGAGAAACGGAAACACAAAACGGGGTTCAAGGAACTGGGGACACAGCGACCAGAGAGCTGGGAGGCAGGGGGGAATCCTGCACAAATCCTGAAAAAACAGCCTGGAAGAACAACAAAGACCATTTTACAGCCATGGCTCTCACAGAGCTCAGGGTACTCCCTCTGCAGGACACCAAGGTATGAGACCATGGGATTAAAGAACCCTCAAGGGGTGACCAGTGTTCTCTTCCTTCTTTTGTTTATATTCAGGACATATTTTTACTCCACTGAGAAGATCTGAATTGAAGCAAGGAGTGTTTAATGTTTACATCCAGTTTTACACCACCACCACGAAATATTTTGCCACTAATAGTCTGTGCTGGTGTATTTCAGTATCTATTATTTTTAGGTCAATGCTCCAGATATTACAGACGTAGCATTTTCAGATCATAAACAGCCATCAAAAATTAATACTACTTTAGTAACAAGAACATAAAGTATATAACTTAACATAAGGAAAAACCTTCAGGAAACAAATCTGGAAGGACAATTTTAAACAATTTTTAGGATTTTGACTTGTTTTGGATCTCCTGAAACTTGAAATGACAAAGCTCTGCTTTTAACAACATAAGATGGAAAATACAACCATCATGTATTTTTTAAATCTCATATAAAGAGACACCTTGTAACAATTCCACAGCAATGAAGTTGTCAACAGTGTGATCAGGTTTCAAAACATTTTAGATACAAAAAGAAAAAGCCAGCTTTGAAAAATATCAATCCTACTTTTAAAAATAAATTTTTGAACGTATCTTAGAATCCCACCTGATTGTACAACCGCAAATTCAGACAGTCTAAAATAAATCAAATTTACTGATATTAAGTTGAAAAGCAGTAACATATCTACGAATGTACTGTTTTCATTTCTAAATCCCTTCATACACAGTAAGGACTATATTACTTTGCCCACCCTCTCACCAAGCAATGGATGTTTTCATTACAAAGGTAACTTGAAGAGGTGGAAGAGTTTTGGAGGTTTTTTGACAAAAAGCTGTCCTTTTCAGCAATTTATTGACTTTGAATAGTGTCGTGGTTTGGGACCCCCAAAAATCCAATTTCTGAGCCCAAGCCTCCCCTCCCACATCTCACCCCAGTGTGAGAGGGGTTTTCCAGACACAACACAAGACTCAATATGGGGGGAAGGGAATTATATTACAATCACTACACAAATAAATTTTATAATACATTATATACACAATCCTAACCATCTCTCCTACGATAAAGCAATATTTACAATGGATCAAATTTCTCCTCCCTCCAATAAAAGTTCAGAAGGGAAGAAGGAAAGATCCTTTCCACTCTCAGGGCAGCAGTGTCTCTCTTCTTCCATGCAGCAGTCATAGCTGAAGTTGTAGCTGGATTTCTTTCCATTACACACAGGGGGTCTCCTCTCACCCCTCCACACTGGGGTGAGATGTGGGAGGGGGGCTCGGACTCAGGAATTGGATTTTGGGAGCCTCAAACTATGACAAATAGCCTACAAAGCTTTGTGAGAAGACATCTTGACCCATGAACAGAGAGCCAACCTTAAACTCTCAACTCTGCTATCCAAAGTCCAGCTTAGACAAGTCAGACAACATTAAGCAGCAAGTTTTAGAACCCATGTGAGATTTCCCTGCCTGCTGGGTTTCCAAAGTAAAATGCCAGACTGTTGAAAACAAGATATTCTGTGGAGCACTGTCAGCCTGACCAACTTTGGAAGGTAGGAAGGCATCCAGGTGCCTTTGTGCCTCAGTGTTTGGACAAACTCCTCCCGAGCAGCTCATCTGTGAACAAATGTGGCTCTGAACCGATGCCAAGGTCGGGGATGTGCTGAGTAAGTACCACTGGCAAGTCAAGATGCCTGAGGGCACCTTGAGCTCATACACCCAATTTTTCCACTATGTCAAAGATGATATGAGGGGAGATTACATCATGTAACCTGCCATCTCCTTCCTTTTTGTGAAACCCTCGTTCTCCCCCAGGTTGTGAAGTCCCTCCCGTGCCTGGAGCAGCTCCCAGGCCTGGCACCGAGCTCCAGTAAAGAGGGACAAAACACTGATTTGGGGTGAGCTGGGCTGAACCACCACAAAAATATGTCACCACCTACTTATTCAAGTTGCAGGGGAAATCTGTGACCAGCAGAGCATGAATAAAATGCAAAGCTCTGACATATCCAATGTCTTCCTCCGGGTTAAAACAGGGAAGGAGTGGAAAACACATCCCTGGCTGTGCTGTCTGTGGCAATCCCAGCCTGGCCCCATGCTGACAACCATCTTGCAACACAGAAGGCAACCTCTTAATAAACACTAAACCCTTCTAACCTGAAAGATTGCAACCACTCTAATTACCAGACATTTTAATTGTTCGACGAAGGTTCAGAGAAATATCAGACACTCTGGGGCCAGAGAATAATAATGATAATTTTGCCTTTCTTTTTCCTTTTGACAGGACACAATCCACTGGGTGGTATTTCAGAGTGTGAAATTAAGAGGCAGATGCCCAGAAATGTAGATATTTACTAAAAATAGACCTCATTGAAAAGGGTTTGCAAGATTTTGCCATAAAGAAAAACCAGGTTTGTTTTTTTCACTTCCCGGCAAAATTTGTGTTTCTTCTCTGGCACGTTAATTACTCAGAGACTGTTGCTTTTTAGAACACTTTTGTCGGGGATATCTCAGTTCTTGCATTTAGAAACAAATTGGTTTAATTACAAAACACTAGATATTTCAAAATATTTGTGAACACGCCTGCAAATTATAATCTGTATAGATTTTAACTTACCTTTTTCCCCTTTTGTGCTCAACAGTTGGACAACACTGGAGACAGTGAGGATAGTTGCATTAAAAATTATGTGGTAATACCTTAACTACACGAACCAGTCCATGTAGAGCTGTTACTGTCACTATGGAATATAAAAGAAATCATGTAATTATGCCCAATTAAAAGGCAGTCCTGTTGCTTGTGACAGTGGGAATTTCATTATGCTGGAAAAAGTGAATAGATACTAAACAGAAAATGCCAGTTTCCAACAAGTAAACTATTACAACAAAATAAATAACAATAAAATCGATTTCATTGTGTCATATGCCTTTTGTTTCTGTGGGAATAAAGTTTTATTTCCCTCAGTAATTTTGTTTGCTGAAGGAATGGATCCGAGAATCACACCAGAGAGATCTTGTAATTCACAGCTCCAGTTCTTATGCCCTGAAAGTCCTTTTTTTCAGAGCTTTTTCTCCCTTAACCAGGCAAAAAGCACATCCTTTCATATCCCCACATCACCATATTTCATATTCTTTCTGCTCTACTTCAGTAACTCCTCTGGTGACAGGGAAGGTTATTCAGGTCTGGAAGGGTCTCTGCTGAGTTATGGCAAACATATTTAGTTAAGTTTCTTTTTTTTTTTTTTTTTTTTTTTGATAGTATCATTTGGAAAACAATCCCAACTGTTTGTCTGAAGCTCACCCATGCCCTCCAGCACACAACATTTGAAGGCAGCTGCCAAAACAGCAAGAAGTCTGCTGACACCCCTGAGTTTGCTCAAAATGAGGTGCAGATCTCAGGGAGCAAAGGAAAGAGGGAGAAAAAACACATCTGATGCCTAATTAAGAGCTGAAGACCAGCCCTTACAATCTGAAATCTTCCCTCCTCTCTGCAGTAAATGTTTTGTAGGTTAAAAATTTAGTACATTATAAATTTAAAATTTTTCTAATTTGTTATAAAGGCTCTTCCTTTATCATTCTTTAGGACTGCCTCAAAATCATAGAATATTTGCTTAATTATTGAGTGTTTTAATAAAATGCTTGGAGCTGGGTTTGAAATGTTGATCTCCCTTCCAAAAGGAAAGTGTGCCTGTGAAGATCTTCATGGTGCTTAATATACATATTTTACATTGCACAGTCTTACCATGGAACCATGGAATGGTTTGGGTTGGAAGGGACCTTCAAGACCATCTCATCCCACCCCCTGCCATGGGCAGGGACACCTTCCACCAGACCAGGTTGCTCAGAGCCCCATCCAGCCTGGCACTGAACACTTCCAGGGACTATTATCCTAAAAATATTGCCTCTATACTAAATGTTGACCAAATAATATGAATTTCACATAGATCAGCATCAGAGAGGTTCATACACACTGAGCTAAGAAAAACACCAATTCACTTATGAAGAATTTGTGACTGAAACTCCCACAAAGTTAAAACTGCAATGCTTTACAATTTGTGTAGAATATTATTTGCAGAT